AAAACCCCCCCAAGGCACCTCAAAGGCCACCGCGGGGCAAATTCTAATCATTGCATGTCACAGAAAACACTACGTAAATCATCAAAAAAACAGTAGAAAGTAGAAAGATCTTCCTTTTCAATTCCCTCTTCAGATGATTGACACACACAATAACAAGAAGTTTTATAGCAGAAAAACATGTTCTACTGTTTATCTTAAGGCTACTGGCGAAACCTGGCCGCGTCTCTCTTTAAGTGCTTTAAATATCACGTCATCACATCACCAGGACGAGTCATTATTTTTCAGCCATCTCCGTTTTGTCACACTGCTGGTATGCCCGTCATTGTCGCACACAAGCAAAAATCACCGTTGTAGCTCTACAGTAGATCGCTGGATAGGTTGAACAGCTCAAGGTTTGACTTTAGACTTTAAATGTAAACACAGCTGAATGAATGAGGCAAGTGGATCAAGTCAGCTGAGTTGATTCAGACCTGCCTAGTCTATATTCGTCCAGCTTTAAATACAACCTGCCATTGGAGCAATGCAAACATGTAATCTGGAGCAGCCACTAGACCCATAACACTGGAATGAAAACAAATAGAGAAAGAAAATGGAGAGAGAAATGAGGAAAGCAAAAAAAGTATATACACAGCTGGTTGCTGTAGTTGAATGAAAAAGTGCAAACTGAGAAAGAAGGAAGACAGAAATGGAGATAAGCCTGTGTCCAGCTGGTGCCACACACACACACTTCTTATTGTTGTTACGGCTGAATATGAATAAAGAAGCACTGAGACTAACTGTCTTCATGTACAGGCTGCAAACACTATACAAGCCAAAGGAGCCACCTGTCACTGCTGACTGAAAGCTGTTTGGCTCAAATTCAAAACCGCATAAAGCAGGAATACCATACAGACATACCACTGTAGCACACAGGCAAAGCTACAAGTACACACACACACAGTTAGATGCAGTTGCAAATAATAGTGAAGGGTAACCTGCGATGTTCAGATGTTAAATAATAAAAATATTACAAGTGAAAAAATGTCTTTTCAAGATTGATACTAAAAAGTATTTGGTGTAAAAATGTCCACATGAGAAAAATAGCTGAAAATTATAATCAAGCATTTATAGACATGTTGAAAATACAAATGTCAGTTAGTTTAGTTTGGAAAGTTTAGTTTTGCTTGCACTGGTGTTATAATGTCAGGCAGCTCTCTCACTGACCTCCTCTGCCATTAATTCAGTAATCTAAATCAGTGCGGCTGTACCAGCAGTGAAGTCAGAGACATACCACAAAAAGGCCTGATCCATACGGCTCTGGATCAAGAACGCTCTGCAGCAAACTGTCTGCATTTAAGTGCCCCGTTTTAAGTAGACAGTCATTTTCTCTCCTACAGCTTGCTTGCCTCTCTGACACACACATGATGCCAGCAGAGGATCAAGTGGAAACCTGAATCAGGAGCAGCGATACTGCCCTTCCAGACATCTGGCACAAAATACAGCATGCCAAGAAAACCACTCTGAGCATGTGCAGAATGTAGATCAAATTTAAAGCTTAAAAAAAAAAAAGCATGGGTCAAACCACCAAGCTTTTACTACCCAGTGTTGGGTAGTAAAAGCTTGGTAAGCCACTTCCTGGATTGTACACAATCACTCTCCTTCTCTAGAAGGTTGTTTTGCATCTGCATCTTTCATTGCATGTGTAACGTCTAACTTGATCCTGTCCCCAGCCTTATCATTTGTCTGTGCCTGCTGACTCTTTAATAAGTGTATTTGTTACTTTAAAGTAATCCCAAGTACAAATGCATGCTGACACATGTACACACCTTGCACCTGCGTCCCATCGTAAACAGTGTGAAACATTTCAGCTAAAGACCAGCCTTGACTCAATATCGCAAAGTAAATAACGCCAGTGTGCAGGCTGAGAGGCCCTGTTGTAAAATCTCCACACAGAGTGATGCAACTGTTCAAAGGGCACAATACAAATAGCAAGATAGCACAACAGTGTGTTGTCTTTACAAGAACTTGCGTTTTCTCAATAAGGACGGTTGGGATATTTTTGCAAACAAATTTTATGCTCAAAAAATGCACAAAATAATATATGCGTGCAAAATAGAGCTAAAAAAAGACGACTTCTGTCTCTGTGATTCTGAACTTTTTAAATGTTTCCTTGTGTTGCACAATCTTCACCCTACATTTTGAAGTTGGCGCCAACAATAAAATACAGCACAGATAAGATATCACGGTGCTTTACCTTTCCAGAACAATGAACGATTATTTAAAATAATAAAATAAAAATCAAAATCGAGTGTGCGATTGCCAGGAGGCTCAAACATCTAACTGCACTATAAAACAGTAACTCTTAAGAATTCAGACCTCCAAGGAAAGGAAATCAGATAACATTAGTTGTCTTTGCTAAGATTTGTGTCAAGGAGTTGTTTACTTTAAAAAAACTTGACCTAACATGAGTGCTATTAGTGGGAGGGCACTTGAAGAGATTCAACGGTAAGTTCGAAAGAGGGTGTGGCAGCTTGTGGTTATATTAAAGCTTGAGCAAAGCCAGCTGCTGACTGCTGTGATTCTTTAGCCAGTGTCATAATACCAAGGGAAGCATGAACGCACAAGCACACGTGATGCATTCACTGCTGTAACTTATTTTGAAACCCCTTGATTAGGGAATAATAACTGACACAAAGGAGAAAAAAGGGAACCGATTACACAAACATTTAGTCAGTGAGGTGAAACCTTTGCTTTGCTTAAACAAGTTCTCCATTAAGTTTGGGGGGAAAAAAGCATTACTTACTGTTTTTTGGCAAAGTATTAGACATTTAATATATCTGTTTATCTTGTTCACAGTTGTGGGAGGCAAGAGGACGTTCCAGCAAGCACCAAACAGGTAAAACAGGCAGCTCATTTATCAGGGGGCACAGAAATATGAATAGGCTGACATCTACTTTTGTGTTTATAGTTGGAGACTAGCCAATGCATTCAAGAAATCTGAAAACGTGGTATATAAAGAACAATGCAGATATGAGCAGGGCATATAAATCCCACAAAGAGAGGCTTTTTTGCCAGTCGGTAGATTCTCCAATCCTGCAGCTTAAAGCTTCCTCGACTACAAACATTGTTTGTAACCACGATGCTTCATAATCAGGCCCATCAGCAAGTTAGCAACCCGAAACGTATTATCCGCTTCAAAAATATCCATCAATGGGCTGCTTACCACATTTGCCCTGCACTGTGTAAAAGGAGGATTCAGCCACTTAAGGTGTTGGTTGATACAGTTGAACTGCTTGGAAAACACTCAAGCTCTGTAAAAGAAGGGCCAATGTTGGCTCCATCTTCTGTGCAGGCTGAGGTCTTCTGGGGTGTGCAGGTCCTTTACGACACAGCTATGGCTTCTGCAATCTTTTATCTAGTTGTCTGCCGAGTAGGTGGCAACATGAAGCAGGACCAGAAACGACTCAATAAACTGGTGAATAAGGCCGACTCTGTTTCCTCGACTCCACAGAGGTTATTTGTGAGACAAGGATGTTACAAGAGCTAATAACCTTCACGGACAACACCACCTATCACCTGTATGAGACAGTGGAGGCTGCACACTACAATACCCTATATAAGATAAATACCTAATAAAAAAAAGAATATTCAGTGTATCTATTATTAGTCACACTGCACTTTTTGTACATACAAAACTCTGAGATATCTTTTGTGTTTTAACATATACACCGTCTATCCATCTAGAGGTTGCTCCCCTATAGGCAGTATCCCCTAGTAGGCAAACGTACACTAGTGATGTCTTTAAAACCTCAACGTGTTAAAAATTGTTTGCTCAGTCTCTAAATTTGCACTAAGGGGTCACTACCATTAACATTTACGTTTTTAAAAAGAAACAAAATGATGTGTTTTTCTCTTAACTTACGGGGCTCTGTAGTATCTGTGTGACACGTTTCTTCTGCTCCAAAACGTTGAAGTCCTGTCGGAGGTCGGGAGACATGTTTCTGGCCCTGATGTACTCCGGATCATTCACGTCGACCCGGTCGAAGTAGCGCTCCTTAGTACCTCCACCAGGCGGAGGAGGGGTGGTCACCACCCCCTGATGGCTGCCCGCACTCATGCCTGTTTCACCTCACTTGCTTGCTCTACGGCTGCCACTCTGACCGTCACCTGAAAAGCAGAAAGGTTGACATGTTACATGACACATATCAAGTAATTTTAAAAAAAAAGGCAAGCAAGGAGAGTTTAACATTTACCTTAAAAGAATATTTGTTCAGGGTGTTTGTGGTTTTTATGCACATAAAACGAAGGGTGGTAATATACCAGGAAAAGGTGTAGCATGCAAATAAAACGGGCATCAAGATTTAAGTCAGATTAGCCTGTAAGGAAAAATGCAAAAGCTGAAATGTGCCATGTATCAATTACAGGATTTATACTTTTGTCACTCTTAAACATGAATATTTTTCAATGAAAGTTAGTTGAATGCCAACAAACAGTCATGTTTAAAATTAGCTAAAGGCACGTAGTATAAATGAGACCAATGATGAGTAAGAAAATGTTATGCCTACCACCTCTCTTTTATCAGATGAAAACACACAGAGGCATGCTGTATCATAAACAGGAAAAGGAAGTCCCTGTTATCTCTATATCATAGAGGTGCTACTCTTCGGTTTGATGGAAATAAAAAGTTCTATCCTGCAGTTCATGTCATTCACTCGCTGAGTCACGACTACATGTAGGTCTTGGTTAGGTCACACTGACAGATCAACTAACAAAGGATACAAACGGGGGCGGGAGGAATTTTGTTTTGACATCCAAGACCTTGACTGCTGAGGTGGTTTACTCCCACTGTTCATTCTCAGGTCAACTGGCATGACAAGCATTTTGCAGGATGCAGGAATTGGTAAATGCAACAATAGAAAATGACTTCAGCGCTTTGTTTTCAGGCCAAGAGCCAATAAAGTCAAAACAAAAATACTAATACAAAAGATTAAAAAACAAAATGCAAGCAGAGATTTAAAAATAAATAAACACTGCATCTTCCAGGAGCCCTTGTCAGCATACGCAGCTGCAGTTACAGTGCCACAGGGTAAGATGCTGGTGTATCATGAAGAGGCGGAGCTTATGGGATCGCTACCAGATGGTGTCTTGGCTTGGACAACGGAAGAATGACAGCGCAAAAAAAAAAAAAAAAGTTCAGGAAATAGATCCGAAGTTTTTTTTTCTTTTCTTTTTTAAATCCAGTAGTCATCTGACAGCACCAGAATTAAAATGTATAGGTTCCTGTGCCAGCACCGAGTCCTCCTGTATTTCAATTCAGCGTTGTCATCTTAGCTTAACACTATAAGAAACAGCAGGGTTTGAGCGGTGATTTGGATTGACACACGCCACTAAGCCACTCATTCAGGTCAAACGCCAATTAAAACTGTGGTTGAGATTAGACGAGGGTCACACACAAAACAAAGTATAACGAACTCTTCACATGTGGATGACAAATTAACCAATATTTTCCTTACTCATCACTCACATTGGCGTGTGACTGATAGCTTTTATTTATGCTTTTTCCCTCTCTCTTCAGGAAGAAGCCTGAACCCCGAGGCTGAAATAAAAAACACTCAATTTGTGTGTTTACTCAAATATCCATTAAACATCAGTATTTCCTATATGTCTTTACCTCTAAGAATCCACTGGGAACTCAGGAAACCACTCTTTGTCTGCCTGATCTCCCTGCCATAGCTCTGATTTATACTATGAAAACAAATAAAAGCCTCCCAAAAAGTAAAATCCTCTTTAACTGAAGGCAGCTGGGCAGCACAGAGTTATGTAACATGATATTGAATTCATCCTCCTGCCCGCACTGTTTTGCTTGCTGAACAACTTTACACAGGCCTGATCAACAAAAGCCCAAGACAAAAGGTTTTGAGAGCAGGACTTTGATATAAAGACTTGTATATAGATGCATTGGCTGTTCTGTCCTGTTTCGTGCTTTATATCCACAGCTTTTCCTATATCTTCTACTGCAGGTATTCTGAGGAATACCACGTGGGAGAAACTTGACAGATGTGTAAATAAATGCATTTAAGGAAGGTGTGATTGACAGTAGAAGCTCACGCATAAAGTTTGCCGACTGGAATCTCTGCGTGGCTGAATGCAACAGCTGTAGTTTCACCAAAATAAAACGACTCCCCCAACCCCCCACTCACAGTCACACGCATGAATACACCACCCCATCCCTGCTCTGTCACAACTTCAGCAGTCCCCAGCATGAACTTCCACCACCCCGCCCCCACCTCCCCCAGTCTCTGTCAATAGATCATTGTCCTCATCTCGAATCATCTCAGTCTGCTCAGATCCAGAGGAATCGACGTTTTTGGAGCGGTGGGGGTGGTGCTGGTGGTTGTGTGTGTGTGCGCGCATTTGAGAGAACGCACAATTAATCTGAGTAAGAATGAAACCCGATCCTCACATTACACCAGCAACATTTATAATCTTAATTTCATGCTCGATGACAGATGCTTACACTTTTTGAATGCAGCCCACTGAAGATGCCAGTTTATACTGAGCTTTGTTCAGTGAAAGACTGGAATTTACAAAGGCAATGCCCATTAAAGTGTGGTATTGCGTGATAACGCTATTATTGCAGTCGATGTAAACTTCACAATTCTGTGGCTGATAAATGAGGTGGGCTGTGTTTACTGATGTGCACTAGACTGTGACTGGAGCACCCGAGGCGAGCACAACCTCGAGACCTTTAGTGACCCTTCCTCTTTTTCCTCCATCTGCACGCTTAGAAGCACCAACAGACAACATGTCTTCATCTGAGGGTAAGCTGTCCATGAAAAAGTTCCCATTTATAAAACAGTGCCACGAATCACTGCTACGAACCAAAGAATGCTCAATGTGACTTTAGTTAGTTAGATAACAAATGCAGCGAGTTAAAATTGAGCTTGGCCTTAACTATCAGGTAAGAATAAGAGGTCAGGCATAAAAAAAAACTAACTGTACAATACAACTTTCATGTATAAAATGACAGAAAGTAACTTAAAGTGCTAAAAGAATGACTTGAAATATCTTATTCGGCCAAAATACATCAAAAGCAACTTTTTACAGTTCATTACAACCTAATGTAAAATCTTATTTATGCGTAGTATGAAAATATTTGCTGCAGAGAAGAAATAGACGAGAAAAAACAGCGAAAGAAAAAAAGGACAATTAAGGATGCGTACATGTTTGTGACTTTTCGCTGCAGTTCAACTGACCACTTCCTTGTATTTGAATTGGTTCTGTGGACAGCCTCCATTAGTGGAACTCAATGTTTATCTCTAAGACAGAGGACTCATCCATTACACACCAATACTTCTGACATTTGGAAATGGAGAGCAAGTGCCTGAGACAAGGCACAACTCTCCATCTTCATCTGATGACAGCTGGCTAATCTAGAAGCCTACACAGACCTCTCTCCAGTCCTTCGACTCTGCTCTGCTTCACTTTTATCCATCTCACTCTGATGTTTCGTCGTATACAATATGCAAACTTACTAGAAAGGCAGGAGTAAAGCAAAAAGCCATGAGTAAACATATGTAGTCACAGAAACTCCCTAAAATGCCGAGTGACACTGCCCGGGCTCTCCACTCACACACATGCATGCAGCTACTGTCTTTATCGTGCTGGGGCAGATGGACTTCAAAAGCAAGCCTGCCTACATCTCTGCCACCTCTAAAAATAGACAAACTGCCTTTTGGGTTGTGTTACAACCCTAATAACAACAATACCAGGAAAGAATCTGTGCGCCGCTAATTATATTCCCGAGTGCTGTGAAACAGTGACCTGTAGCGTAAACTTTCCTAATGCACACACCCAAACACACAGAGACAAGTAGGTGCGTTCCCTGTCCAAACACGCCTGTGTGAGAGCTCTAGCAGTGAAACTGAAGGACAATGTTTGAGCCAAAAGCTCAGCAGCTTACATGATCCTCCAGCGGCTTTGCTATGAGATGAGGAAAGCTCCTCTTGAATCCATCACTGTGCCAGCAGCAAGCGTTACCCATGACACAGGGTAATGCCTGGCTATCAGTTTAAGCTGATGGTTTCTTATGAAATCTTGATTTAGAGCAACGACTAGTGACTGTGGATGCATTTTAACTTGCAAATATATTCAGTCTAATATGTTTCTCTCTATACTTCATCTATGAGGATTCTAAAACACTCCCTGCTATCTTCCTTCACAGAGCTAATCTTCTCTGGTGCTCACACTCAGTGCACTATTATTGCCAGACGTGTTTACAGTGCAGAGGTCTATATGCCTGAGCGCCCTGGCAGCCGCACTAACATGGAATTCCCCTAAAATTGCCAATCGGTTTTTTGGATAGTAACCTTTGGAGTCTAGTGGGAGCAGAAAACAGATCCCAAGTCGGATGAATGAAACAAAAACATCCGTCCGTAAGACAGAGGGAATACATACACAATATGCAAACAGGTGTACTGACACAAGCAGCCGACACACAAATATAATGCAAGCACAACCAACCTTGTGTTTATTTCCTACTTGGTCAGTGAATGGGAGAGAATGGGGAGTAGTAGTAGGCAGCTGAGGCAAAACACATGTCTCTGTTTCTCACTGCTGCTCGGTGCCCGTGCACAAATTCCACCAGTGAGTCCCAGAAAGAAGCCGGGAGAGACGAGAGAGAAAGAGCGGGATACGAATAACCAGGCGGCGATCAGAAAACCAGTCCGTCCACGCGTCCCTGCAGATTTTCCATATAAATGCTCCTCGGTGAAGCTGCCAGCAGACAGCAGATTCTCCCAGATTCTTACAGTCTCCCCGTCTTGGCTGCTCTAGCGTTCATCAGATAGAGAAGTATCAACAGCTGTGAGTGTGTATGTGAGAGGATCTGTGTATGTGCGTGCCCTCAGTGAATGGGGGCGTGTGTTTGTGTGGAAAAGAAGCTAAAGCGACCACGTGATGCAAGCTTAATCCCCCGCCCACTGGCTAAAAACACACACACACAGAATCAGGCAAAGGCATACATACAGGCTTTTTGACCAATCAGAGCTCAGGCTCACACACTAATCACACCTCCCCTCCTCCACTGCCTTCTCTCTCTCTCTTTCCCCATCTCGTCTAGCCTTTTTCTTCCTCTCTTTTTTTTTCTTTGATCCATTCACATCCCTCACATTCCACTATCCGCTCTCGCTCGCTTTCTTTTTATGTCTCTCATTCACACCCACTGCTGTCCTTCCCCCCTCGCTGGGCGACTGTACTAAAGGTCAGTGTTTATTAGTTTGGCTGGAAGCAGCATAACTGCAGCCGCTCAACCTGCTGCAGCAGAAACTGCTCGGCTTTCACTGTCACTTCTGCCCCATTGAATCAATGCTATCTGGCTCTCTGATAAAATCAAATACCAACAGCCTTACAAAAGAACATTGTTAAAAAATATCATTTAATGCCATAATTCAGTCACCCGTCTGTCAATACATCTGTCACATGACAGCTCTCTGCAAGTCTGTGGCCCTACTCACTTTGCCTATACATTTTCCTCATACTTGTTGCTGTTCATTGTATCTCTAAAGCCATTTTTGAAGCCATGACGACATCTTGTATTTCTACACTCCCTAAACTTGCTCAAAAGCAACTCAAAGCATTTTCTCTTTCTTCACTCTATGCTGGTGAGGAATATGAAAAATGTGTCCTCTGGTTTTCCGTCTCTCTTTATCACCAAAGCTGTTTTTCATGCATGAACTCCAAACAATGTGACGAAAATCAGGTTAGGACACTGTGAAAGGTTGTGCACTACATCAGATAGTGTGTTTCGAGTTTTAAAAAGTGGGTGCTGTGTGCACTAAGAATGTAAAAGGAAGTTCACAATACACCCGTACACTTTTTACGAATTCATCAACTCTTCCCTACATTATTCTCATATTAACACTGTCGGACATCTTGCAGACTCTTTAACAGACTCCAATCACACAAGCCTAGAGACCAGTTGGCGACGGAATGAATTGGCGGGTGGTTGCTGAAAGTTAACTGCTGTCGTTACGTGAAAGAGGTATATGGTGGTTCACCCAAAAAAAAACAAACAAAAAAAACCCCGAAAACTGAAAAAAACTAACATTTTTGTGATTTGTTTGGTCGCTATCAGACTGTCAGGGTTGCCTGTATTGTCCATTGAAGACACTGATATGATGGTTGGCCACAAAAGGTACAATTAACAAAATGGCAAACCAATACTGATTATGAACTTGAACAAAATGGAAAAATCTGGCCTTAAAACAACTGCTAAGCATTTGGACGAAAAGTGATTAGCAGAATGATAAACAGATGTGTCTTAAAGGGAAAAGAAAACAGACGAATGTTGCCTTCCGGTGAACGTTAACAGGCTATACAGTGGGAACAAGGAGCATCTCCCGGCTCTGTACCTGTTGAGCAATCAAAGCAGGAAATAAACTAAATCTCTACAACTGCAAAACACAGACCACAAACTCAACCCCCCAGTGGGGAATAAGCTAAGCCACAGATGACTTAACCACCAGAGAAACACATGGCACACATGGCACAATAGTTGAATGCAGTCCAATTCACAAGCCATCCATGCAGAAGACAAACAAACAATCCAGGCAACCAAGATGTCAACAACTTGTCAGCCAGGTCATTCATTCTAATGTTTGCTTTTAAAAGATCAACGCTTCACATCAAATGCAAATTTACATATGGATGCTTTACACACACTCTGGATTTAACCTTGTAAGAATGTACATAGTGATGATGCAGATAAGCTGAGAGACTCAGCATCAGGTATGGTTAAATGAAGACATGCATTTGAAGCTAAAATCTTAAAATATGAATAATATACAAACTGAAATAGTTCTAGACTGTGATCTTTCAACAACACTTTCAGGAAGTTGTCATTCAGAAGTACAACAGTGACCCAAAGCACACAGCAGGGTCATAAGGACACATCCTCAAGATAAGAACAAGACCTTCTGCAACAGATGGCATGACCCCCACAGAGCCCTGATCTTCACATCATCATTCAGGGATTACACGTGGAAACACTGAGACAGTCTTAATCTACACTTAACATGTTGTTAGCTAATTAATATAAACGAATGATACCATTAATTTGTTAAGCATCATAACCATTTTCATTCCCTATCAACTTTCAACAAAGCAGCACAAGTTGCAAGGTACAGTAATGGCACGTCAAGTACCAGTTGAGTCCTGCAAAAGTGTGTCACTATCATAACAAAACTCACACATTACGCAAAATGTCATGAAGTTTCCTTCATGAGAGCCCTAGATAACAAAGGGCTATAGTACACATTCATGTGATCACCTGATGGCTTAGATGATATGGAGTTTTTGTTTAGGTTCCTGCAAGAGTAACGGTGATAACACTGCTGCAACAGACGCCAAGCCGCACCCACTTGATATCTCACAGTTGGAAAATTGCCAGAAGATAACTTTATCAAAGCCCTGCATTATTTTGTGACATCAGAATTTCCTCTTGAGTTTACATCCGACTTCATTTTAAAGCACAGTTTTTGCCTACAACACCACAAAGTGGTGAAAATGTTGTGCTTGTTTAGGTTGCACAACAAATTAATGTGCTAAATGTATACAAGTTAATAATACTTGTGTGTAAGACTGTAATACATTCCAAGCATCTCAAGTTATATGTTGAATTTAAAACCAAAAGGTGACATGTGCAATACGTCATTTTCACTGGGGAATTACCCTTTACCGGGAAATCTACCATCATACGTACGTCATAGTCGCACACCTGTCTGAAATCCTACACCGTAACTTGATTTGCACCACCCTAGAAATGCAAGTACACGCTGTGCTGACGTAGCCCGCAACAATTGTGATTGGCCTGTTCAGGACCCTTGATTCTTCCTGCGTATTTCCGACTACTTTAGGTCACAAAGGAATGAACAAAGAAGTAGAAAAATAAGTTTTTTTCCTTTTTCTTCGGAAAAAAGAAAAAGAGGAAGAATAAAAAAAAAATAAAAAAAAAGAAGAACCTGACCACAAAAAAGTGGGGATCCATGAGGGAAACAAGTCCCAGTGTTTTGTTTCCATTGGCTGGCACCGCATATAAAACAGTGGGAAAACACCACATAATAATGAACACTAATTGCACCAGCACAAGCATTGGTGTCATCAGCTTCTTTTTTTTTCTTTCTTTTTTTCAACAGTGGTGGGTATGATGGGGGTGGTCCGTGGTGGTGGTGGTGGGTGTTGTGAGCATCCTGCGGCTTGTTTGTTGGCGCCTATTATGTTGTTGGTGGGATAGTATTTTTTCAACAATCCTCCTAATTATTTTTTGTTCTGGCAGCACTGCTGCGGCAGGGAGGAGTTTTCTTTAAAGATAGAATGCATTTTGGGATCAACTTGAATGAGAGCATCAGAGGTCAAATGTGACATGATATTTGAATGCAAACTATATTGTGATATTTAGCATACCCATATATCAGTATCATTTGTTTGTATTGACAACATTTACAAAAGAAAGTTGAATTTTATGGACAGTTTTAACGATAAGACATTTTATGAAGGAATTCCCCATGTTTCATTCCCCACAGCCCTTTTTCCATTAGAAGAAGACAAATCCTTTTATTGTCATTCAATACAAGTTATACATTCATAAAGAGTAAGTATTTTATAAGGCTGTATCATGTTTCTGTATCATCCCTTTCCTATTAGACCCAAAAAGATCAGCCTCTTTAATGATCTGTTATTTTTAACATTTTATAAAAAATATATTGTCCAATTTGTCATCCAATTAAAGAATATTTGCTACATCAGTTTGCCTTGCATTTTATCTGAAACATAAAAGCTTAAATATGCAGTAACTAAAGCTTTCAGACGGTGGTCGCATCAATTATTATTTGTCTGTGAGACACTCACAGGTACAAACGATATGATTTTAACTGACATGGAATATTTGAGACACTAGAGTTAAATTCTTCCACTGAGTATATAAAGTACAATATCTACAATGTAAATTCTGTCATAGTTGTACCTTCAAAATAAAATGAGACGAGTCACATGAGCTTGTTTATTAGCTAAAGTTAGCATTGTTGTTGGCTAAAAGTACTAAGCACATGGCTGTGGTGTTGGTTGTCCCAGATACATCACATGCAGATGAAAAAATACAATTTACTCAGATAAAAGTCAAACATAAAATGAAGATTTTATGCATTTCCTTCGAACATCACAGCTGTAGCCGCTACTGTCGTGGTTGCTAGGCAACAGGAACTGCCTAGCTACAACAACAAAAAACAACTTTCTTTTTTTCTTATATTTTTAAAAAAAGGCCGGCAATGACAGAAATGGCTAGGGAAAAAAACCTTTGTTATAGCATTCATGTCGCATATTAATTACGTCGCCCTAACCCTAACTTCACACAATTAGGTAATACTGGATGATAATAGAAAACCAATCAATCCGAGTTGGTACTTATGGAAAAGTGGCTTATATGTCTGTATTGTCAATTCAAACAATAGCAGTGACTAACATGTTTTTTTAAATACCTTTATATAGCATTATCATCACTTTGACTTTTCAGGTCAATCCATTTCCCTTGAAGGAAAGGTCAGAGGTCAAATGGGAAATTATATTTTAAATCTGTAAAACAGCTAGCATTTGTTAAAAATACACACCAGAGGGTTTTCTCAAGGCTTTTTGTCAAATTTCGGTCAATAAATGATTAAGATGACTCTGGATCTTTTAATGGATTAATGGATTTTAATGGATTGTTAACATGATCCAACTCTACACCTCTACAAAGGTTGTTTTTTTTTGTTTTTTCCTCTCTCATTCTCGCTCTCAAATCTACCTTCATATGTGAACAAACATTGTCTCAGTGACGAAGTTTAACAAATCCATATACAGATTACCTTTCAGCGAGGATTACCTGTCTGCTCTCCTTTGA